GTTTTTCAGGAAGCCATTGGGATCAAAAATTATTTTTTGGTCGCAATGGTTCAGCCTACTCCACGCTGACGAGCGCCAAAAGCGCGAAACGCGTTCGTGGATGGCTTTTCTTGATTTATCAAGAAATTGGGTTGGCCAAATATCAGGGAACAGGCTAAATCAATGAATAGTTGATTTCTGTTCCACCAGATGGCGCTCTGCCTTCTGAAAAGCACATGTGCTCCTGGTCAGGATATGCCATTTTTAATATTGATTTCAAAACCTGATCTTTTTATCTTTTATTTTTTTCTTTCGTTTTTTAATGTGCTAAGCGTATTTACGCAAGTTTGGCCTTAAATACCCATTTCTTGGTTTTTTCAGGAAGCCATTGGGATCAAAAATTATTTTTTGGTCGCAATGGTTCAGCCTACTCCACGCTGACCAGCGCCAAAAGCGCGAAACGCGTTCGTGGATGGCTTTTCTTGATTTATCAAGAAATTGGGTTGGCCAAATATCAGGGAACAGGCTAAATCAATGAACAGTTGATTTCTGTTCCACCAGATGGCGCTCTGCCTTCTGAAAAGCACATGTGCTCCTGGTCAGGATATGCCATTTTTAATATTGATTTCAAAACCTGATCTTTTTATCTTTTATTTTTTTCTTTCGTTTTTTAATGTGCTAAGCGTATTTACGCAAGTTTGGCCTTAAATACCCATTTCTTGGTTTTTCAGGAAGCCATTGGGATCAAAAATTATTTTTTGGTCGCAATGGTTCAGCCTACTCCACGCTGACGAGCGCCAAAAGCGCGAAACGCGTTCGTGGATGGCTTTTCTTGATTTATCAAGAAATTGGGTTGGCCAAATATCAGGGAACAGGCTAAATCAATGAATAGTTGATTTCTGTTCCACCAGATGGCGCTCTGCCTTCTGAAAAGCACATGTGCTCCTGGTCAGGATATGCCATTTTTAATATTGATTTCAAAACCTGATCTTTTTATCTTTTATTTTTTTCTTTCGTTTTTTAATGTGCTAAGCGTATTTACGCAAGTTTGGCCTTAAATACCCATTTCTTGGTTTTTCAGGAAGCCATTGGGATCAAAAATTATTTTTTGGTCGCAATGGTTCAGCCTACTCCACGCTGACGAGCGCCAAAAGCGCGAAACGCGTTCGTGGATGGCTTTTCTTGATTTATCAAGAAATTGGGTTGGCCAAATATCAGGGAACAGGCTAAATCAATGAATAGTTGATTTCTGTTCCACCAGATGGCGCTCTGCCTTCTGAAAAGCACATGTGCTCCTGGTCAGGATATGCCATTTTTAATATTGATTTCAAAACCTGATCTTTTTATCTTTTATTTTTTCTTTCGTTTTTTAATGTGCTAAGCGTGTTTACGCAAGTTTGGCCTTAAATACCCATTTCTTGGTTTTTCAGGAAGCCATTGGGATCAAAAATTATTTTTTGGTCGCAATGGTTCAGCCTACTCCACGCTGACGAGCGCCAAAAGCGCGAAACGCGTTCGTGGATGGCTTTTCTTGATTTATCAAGAAATTGGGTTGGCCAAATATCAGGGAACAGGCTAAATCAATGAATAGTTGATTTCTGTTCCACCAGATGGCGCTCTGCCTTCTGAAAAGCACATGTGCTCCTGGTCAGGATATGCCATTTTTAATATTGATTTCAAAACCTGATCTTTTTATCTTTTATTTTTTTCTTTCGTTTTTTAATATATATATATATATATATATATATATATATATATATATATATATATATATATATATGTGACAATATCGTTGCGGAATTTCTTGTTGTTTGATTTGAATGGTGAGGATTGGTTGAAACGCAGTCGCTTGAGTGGAAGTTGAAGCATACAGTTAGGAATAATCAGGACACGTGATGGGGTTTGAAAATAAAAGGCAACTGGGTTGGAGGAAAGAAAGCTTGAGAAGAGCGGAGCGGGTTTTGATTGTTAATTATTTGATCACATGGCGGTGATTGTACTTAGCTGTGGGATGAGCAGAGGGAGAGAGGTCTAGAGCAGATGTCACCTTGTTGGAAGCCAAATCACAACTGACTATTCTTGCCTTTCGATTTAACACCACGAGTTGTCTTCCTTCCCATTGGTCGAAGGATGGGACGTGCCCGTTTTCCTATTGGTTGACCTACTTAGTGGTTTCTTCCTAATTGGACCGGCGGCTGCTTTGATGGAAGATACGCCCGGCCTGGGTCAGGAAGTATCGTGTTAGTTCGACTCTATTTTACTTCCGCGGTATCAAATACGTCCGGTCTTGTTCCGGAAATTGGGCGTCTCTCAAACTTTTATAACTTCTGGTCACCAGATACGTCCTGTCTTGTCCGGAAATATTGGTTTAAACTTAGCTCGCAGGGTTTCCGGGGTCAGAAGGTTAACTGTGACGTTATTAATAATTATGTTCTCTTCTAGATCTACCTCCTATGTCTTTTTGTTACTTTCTTTCCTCCAGTTACCTCATTCTTTATTAAATCTTGGAAAATCATACATTGTACATGCATAGTGGGTCGGGGTGCATACAATTATATACAAATTATGACATATATATATATATATATATAATTTGGGTGGTGAAATATAGAGGACCCCTTCATTATAATATTGTAATTTATTTACATGTACAGTATCGCTATCATTACCTGTAATCCTATTGGGTCTATTTATACGTACGACATTATCAGAAATTATTTCCGTAATTTTATATGGACCTGTAAAGTAGGGTACTAACTTACCGCTATTTGGATGATGATACGCCTTTACTAATACTAAATCTCCTGTATCAAAGTGTGGGTTCTTATGTTTGTTATCATATTTAATTTTCTCTTTGTCGTGCCTGTCATTTGTACGTTGTATTGCTAGTTTTCTACTTTCTATTATATTGGGGTAGGGGTTTATGTGGTTATTTAAGTCTGAGGGGATTATATTATACATTAAAAATATGGGGGGAAATCCAGTTATCGTATGGGGGGTATCGTTATATTTATTAGTTACTATCTTAATTAACTTAGTCCAGGAGGTTCCTGGATTCTCTAAGTTCAGTAACCTCAGCTTCCCGGTGAGTGTCGCGTTAAGACGCTCACATAATCCGTTAGCTTGAGGGTTATTTGCAGTGATTAGTAGAGGCTGTATCCCGTTCTTTATTAAGAATCTCCTGAACTTTGGGGAAGTAAATGCAGGTGCCCGATCCGAAAGAAGGCGTTTTGGGCGGCCACACTGCAATACCTTTTTGAGGCACTGAATGTATGTGATTATACTAGTTGACTTACTGGGGAAGGTCCATGTATACCGACTTAGGTGATCTACAATTACGTGTAAGTATGACTTATAATTACCGTATTTAGAAAAACCTGAAATAGTGTCTATAGATAACATATCGTAGGGTTGTAAAACTATAGGGGGGCGTTCTAATCTACCATATAATGGACCTTTCGGTTTCTTTATAAGTTGGCATGTGGGACAGGACCTATTATACTTAACTATAGATTTGGTCATTCCACACCAAGTATACTGTGTGGAGATGAGCCTAATCATTTGGGATACACCAGGATGGTTATACTCTAAATGTACTTTATTAATTAGCGTATGTGGTAAGGGAGGTGGAACTATAATCTTGACAATACCTTTACGTTTGATTGTATGGAGGCCATCTATATTCGTTTTGATAAGTGTAGATGGAGATAATTGGGGTTGCTTTTCTATTATTTGGGTGGTGGTGAGAAAACCACATAAAGGATTGCGGGACAGTAGGTCTGCTTCGTACTGCGTTTTACCTTTTATATATTTTATATCGTATTCGTATGCGGACATCTTTAAGCTCCACCTAAAAAGTCTACCCGTTGGGTTTTTTTCAATGGTTTTTAACCATTGTAATGCATGGTGGTCCGTAAAAATTGTGAACCTTACACCCGCGAGATAGATGCGGAACTTTTCCACACTATCTATCACAGCAAGGCATTCCAACTCTGTGATGGTGTAATTTTTCTCGTGGGGTCGGAGTGCTCTGCTGTAATATTGCACGGGGTGTAGGATGCCGTCTGGATGTTGTTGTTTTAGGATGCCAGCTATTCCCTGAAGTGAGGCATCACAGAATAGCCAACAGGGTAACCCTTCTTTAAAGAGGTGTAGTACCGGTTTTGTGGTCAGACATTCTTTTAGAGTGTCAAATGAATGTTGGCATTCTGCATCCCAGTGCCATGGGGTATCTTTCTTAAGTAGATTATTGAGGGGGTTCCTAATGCGGGCGTGATCTTTTATAAATTTATTATATACATTAATGGAGCCTAAGAATGATTGGAGGGATTTAACGCTAGTGGGGACCTTAATGGCATTAATTACATCTAAATTTTGTACTAATGGAGTGAATGTGCCTGATGATATGGTATAGCCTAAAAATTCTATTGTAGTTTTAAAGAAGTCACACTTATTACAATTTAACCTAAAATTTTCCCTATTACACATATCAAAAAATTGCTGTAAGTGCTCTAAATGTTCTTCTATGGAATTTGAAAAGATAATGAAATCGTCGAAATAATGTGCTATAAAACCTAACCTATTTCTTTTAATCCCGTATGGTAATCTTTCGAAATTATATTGACCCTCTAACGTGACAAAAGATAATAAATTTCTATCAGGGGGACTTATTTCGATGGACCAGTATGCTGATGAAAAATAGGCGCGGGAGTAAATTTTGGCGTTGGCTAATTTATCTAAGATATTCTCTATGAGCGGAAGGGGGTGAACATCGGGGAAAATTATTTCATTCAGGCGGCGGTAGTCTACGCAAAATCGTTTTGTCTTATCCTTTTGGGTAACTAAAGTAACGGGGGCTGAATAGGGGGAGAAAGAAGGCTCTATAATATCATATTCTAGCATTTTCCCTACTTGTTCTTGTATTTCACGTTGATCTGAAAGAGATGTTCGATACGGTCTGAGTGCAATTATTTTATCTTAATTTGTCCTAATATTGATAGGGGGAATTTTCAATTTTGGGATGTTATATTTGTTAGTAGAAAAAATATTTGAGTAATTCTTAATAATATTCATAAAAGTTAAAGGGATATCATTCCTAACACATAAATTACAAGAATCATTAAAAATTTTACATTGATGTTCCGAGGGATATAGTGGGGGTAATAAATATAAATGGGGAAAATGAGCTAAAGTTTGGCTGGGTGCATTTTTGTCACAATTGGTAGAGGTCTTGGTCAAGGTAATGGGACATGGTATAGGATGGACATTTTCCCCTTGCAATAATGGAGAATGTGAGTTAGGCATGTTTTTTAAAAGACCCACATTGGGCGGGTTACATGGGATTACATAGGTTATATGGTACCATTTCTTAGACAAAGGAGCATCACATTGATAAATAGAATGATTATATAAATTTAAGGTCAAACAAAATTGACTAATGGAATTTAATGATAGTATACCAAAAGGTAATAAAAATGATCTATTATATAAAATTTAATTGATTTTGTTATTTTTCCTATGGTAGTGGTCAAAAATGTATATCCTATCGAATTTATTTGAGTAGATATGGAATTGATTAATATATGGCATGGATATAATTTTAAAGGATTAGATAAGTTTTTACTAAGATGATTAAAATATTTAAATTAATTATGTTAATAGAGGCTCCTGTGTCTAAGAGGAACGGGCAATAAAAATTATTAAAAAATTTAGGTTTACATAGAATATTGGATAGTTTAGGGACGAAAATTGAGGGTTTCGTTGCCTTGTGAGGTGCGAGAAGACCTGGGGGCCGGCACGGGAAGGTTGTGGGCGCCATTTTGTTCCGGTGGGAAATAATGCGCAGTAGGTTGGCCGTGGTAGGCCTGTTGCCTGTAGGGTCGTCTGTTCATGGAACATTCACTGTTCCAGTGATCACCTTGGCAGTATTTGCATGGCGAGGGTGGTCTCCTGGCACCAGAAGGGTATCTTGGAGTATTGTTTGTTGAGAAAGGATTGTAGTTCCTTCCCCTAGAAGGAGTTCCGGAATCACGGTGAAAGGCACTGGTGTTGGTAACACCTTGAAATGGTTCGGATGGAGTAGGGAATGAATTGGTCCCTTTTATTCTAGTCATGGTAGAGTACCATTCGGTCAGGGTTTTAGGGGCTATGGCCCTCATGAGGCGCTGATCACTGGCCTGGAGGCCTTCCGTTAATGCTTCCACTATGATAGGATTGGTTAGGCCCAGTTGTAATCCCATAGTTATTTTTTGGCGGTAATAGTCTCCTAATTGGATCTGACTAGTTAATTTAAAAGTTAAAAATTTGGTGAAAGTGACCTCGGATTTTCCGGGGTAGAGGTCCATGAGAGTTTGTTTTGCCTGACTGTATGGCAGAGAGGCCAGATTCAGTTTGTTGTAGAGGGAGAGGGGCTCACCTTTGAGTAGCGTGCGGAGCCGGGCTTGCAGGGTGGCGTCATCTTGCGGTCTCTCGCTCGTCCGCTCGAGTTGCTGGATGAAGTTGCTTGCTGCGTAGGATCCGTCGAAAGGAGAGATGAGGGCTTCCTCCGCACAAGGCACGGCTATTCCCCGAATGGCGTCTGTTAGGCGGCTTACTAGGTCTTCGCAGTGGGGTTGCATGTTTGTGAGGGCATCCGCGAAGTATTCGTCTCTGACCTCCGTCATCCTCTGCATGCTGCTGTCCTCAGTTATCCTGTCGACTTAAACGGGTTCTGTAGTAACCCCGACCAAGCCGACGTGGAATATACTGGGCAGTCGTGGTCGTGGGTGCGTGATGGGATTCCCGCACGGGGACAGCAAGGGACAGAGGCAGGTCTAGATGGTAGCTCCAAGAGGTAGAGATAGACCACGGACGAAGGCAGTCGGACCACGGGCGCCGCGGATGCCCTAAGCCTACTCGCGGATAGAAGAAGGGGTGAGAGATCCGACCGACCGTATAACGGCGTCACTCTGAAAACAACTCCTTTGTCTCATTTTCTGGGCCCTTTTATACTGGACCCCCGCATATGGCGGTGAGTCCTGATTGGCTCCTGTAATCACGCCACCTTCTGGCGCCGTTGGTCGTTGTCGCCGTCTGGTCTACCTTTGCCTCTTTGTTTATTTGTTACATCCATTTCCACAAGGTCGATACATATTTTTATATAGATATGGGGTTATAATAAATACCAGAAGAAGGTTGTGAACTATCTAACTCAAAATATACTACATATATATTTTTAGAATTTATTTTTGGAACACAAATGTATTTTTAGTTCCACCTTTTGCTACGAGGGGCGCTGTTTGCCAGGCCGTTATGCACCGTTTTAAACGTGAATTTTTTTTTAAATTCGTTTTTAATATACATATTTATTTTATATATAAATATATATATGTATTTATTTGTTATTTTTATTACAAAATTATATTAATATTTGAGCATCAAATATATATATATAGAATATATTTTTTGAAACATAAATGTTTTTAATTTCACTTGTTTCCGCGGGCTAGATTGGATAGTAGATCAAAAATTTTGTAAACAAAATTTCAATGAAATGTGAAACTAGAAAATAATTAGCCTGATACCATTCCAAAATGTCAAGAGAGTTTACATTGAAAATTTGATATTTGAATCAGTAGTTTGTGTGGGAGTTTATAGATAAATAGAAAGAAAAATTCTCCGATTTTTTATATATAACATATAAATATATAGATGGAAATTTTTCCGGGAGGATATTGATCTAAAGAGACAAGGGTCGCCTCTCCCGTCAAAATAGATGGGGTCTGGTTTTGACGTCTATTTTGACGGGAGAAGCGACCCTTGTCTCTTTATATTGTTGCACCAGGTTGCGGCTTGGCAGACTCTTCAGCCTGGATTCTCTCCTGTGCTGGGTCTTGCATCTTACCAGAGCGTGTTTCAACCATCCTACAAATTTATAAAAGGGAATAACGAGATAAGTCTTCTTTAAGTAGCCACCAGAATCCTTTCTTTATTTTCTCACATCAAAGAGAGCAGTGAAGTCACAGTGTACCTAAATACAAATGATGATAAATTAATAATCTGTTTTAAATAAATATCATAGAATATTTTATATAAAAATAAATAAATATATAATTTAAATTTCAAATATATTAAAACTAATATAAGAAATACGCCATTAATCATGATGTAACACTTCCCCCTCTCCAGATGTCGTCACGTCCTCGTGATTGACCTCATCAATTCTTTCAAAATAGGGTTTGATTCTTGAGACATGGACAATCAATGGGTCTTGGCCAGGATTATCTTTTGGTTCAATTAAGTAATTTACGTTGGACAGCTTCTTTAATATTCTATATGGGCCAAAATATTTTCTCAGTAGTTTCTCACACTTTCCTATTTTCCTAATTGGTGTCCAAACTGCTACTAATTCTCCTGGTTCGTAGCTTCTTTCCATGTGTTTCTTGTCATAGTTCTTTTTCATTCTTTCTTGAGTCTTTATTGTGTTGTTAATAACTAATTTTCTTGTTCTGTTTATTTTGTCTAAGTGATGTTTTATGTATTCATCATAATCATCTTTGTCAATGTCCACCGAGATATTCCTGTCGTCCAAAAGAGACGTGGGTTCTCTTCCAAACATCAGGAAAAAGGGAGAATATCCTGTGGTTTCCTGAATTGTAGTATTGTAAGCGTGAGTGATGAATGGGAGTATTTCGTCCCAATTTTTCTGATCAGTGTTCACATACATACTGAGCATATTGATCAATGTTCTATTTAACCGCTCTGTCAATCCATTAGTCTGGGGATGATAGCTCGTTGTGAAGCAATGTTTAATCTTGCACGTTTTCATCACCTCTTTCATTAAATTACTGGTAAATTGAGAGCCTCTGTCACTAATAAGATATTGTGGGGCTCCGTGCCGAAGAAAAATATCCTCTACTAGAAATTTAGAAACTTCTTTCACTGTTGCTTCCGAGACTGCTCTTGTTTCTGCATATCTAGTGTAGTAGTCCGACAGCACGATTATCCATTTTTTCCTGTTTTTCGTAGATGGTAGTGGACCAACAAAGTCAATTCCAATTCTTTCGAAAGGAAAGTTGGCTGGGGGGATGGGCTGTAGTAGTCCAGAAGGTAATTGGTTTGAGCCCTTCCTACTTTGGCAAAGGTGACACGTCTTAACGAATTCTGAGACATCCTTTAGCATGGATGGCCAAAAGTATTTACTCTTTATTCGGTACATGGTTCTGGCGACGCCCAGATGGCCATTCGACATATGATTGTGATATTCTTTCATAATTTCTCTCTTTTTATTCTCTGGAACCACAAGCAACCACGCCCTGCCTTCAGGGTTCGGGTTTTTCTTAAAGAGGCATCCATCTTCTTCTTTAAAGTTTTGCGCAATTGATCGCCTGCTTCCATTAAGGTTTTTCTTAACACTTTCGATAAATTTATCCTCTTCGTCTGTTATTTGATTTAAAAATAGCCTTTCAAAATCCTCATCCCAATCAGTTTCTGGTAAGGGCCCCCTAGATAAGCCATCGGCGTCCAGATGCTTCTTTCCCGATTTATGTATTATATCGAAGTCATATTCTTGAATTTTCAATGCCCATCTTGCCAATCGACCTGTTGGATCCTTCAAGTTTTTGAGCCAGCACAAGGCGTGATGGTCTGTTACTGTTTTAAAGTGTCTTCCATAAAGGTAGGGTCGTAATTTTGACATTGACCAGACAACGGCCAGACATTCTTTTTCAGTGGTTGAATAATTTTGCTCCGCTTTACTTAGGGTACGACTCAAATATGAGATCACCTTCTCTTCACCACCGATGTCTTGGACAAGTGTTGCACCTATGCCGATGTTGGACGCATCAGTATGAACATAAGTAGGTGCATTTGGATTGAAGTGACCTAAAATTGGTGGACTTAATAGTGCTGTTTTTAGGGTTTGAAACGCTTCCTCTTGTCTTTCTGTCCAGGTAAATGATACACTTTTTTTTATAAGGTTGGTCAAAGGGTCAGCAATTTTTGAAAAGTCTTTGATAAATTTTCTATAATATGAACACATTCCCAAAAAGGATTGTACTTCTTTGACCTTTTTGGGCCGAGGAAAATTTCTGACAGCTTTGATGTTATGTTCCGCGGGTTTTATACCATGTTTGCTCGTTATATAGCCGAGAATCTCCAATTCTTCAAAAGCAAATCGGCATTTTTTGTCGTTTAACCTTAAATTAGATTCACGAAAACATCTAAAAACAGCTTCAAGTCTTTTGAGGTGCGTTGGAAAATCCGGGCTATATATGATAACATCATCCAGATAACACAAACAAATTTGCCATCTCAGATTTCCAAGCATATTCTCCATATTTCTCTCAAAGGTAGCAGGCGCGTTACAAAGTCCAAAAGGCATCACGTTGAATTCATATAATCCATGCGCTGTAGTGAAAGCTGTTTTCTCTTTGTCTCTTTCTTCGACTTCAACTTGCCAATATCCAGATCTGAGGTCTATTGCTGAGAAGTGTGTAGATCCTTGGAGAGTATCCATAACTTCGTCTATTCTAGGGATCGGATAGACATCTTTTACCGTCACATTATTCAGTTTTCTGTAGTCCACACAAAATCTGTATTTACCATCTCGCTTCTTGACCAATATTACTGGAAAAGACCAGGGGCTAGAAGATGGCCTAATTATGCCTTCTGTAAGCATCTCGTCAATTTGCTCTTTTATAATATCTCGTTCTTTAGCACTTACCCGGTAAGGCTTGTGTTTAATTGGCTTCGCGTCTTCTGTGTCTATCCGATGTTTTGCCAAATTGGTTCTCCCTAATCTCGATGAAAAAAGATCTCCATACCTTTCTAAAACTTGTTTTAACTCCTTCTGTTCCTTTGGTGAAAGATTTTCGTTTATTTGGAATCTAGGTTCTTCGTTCTTTTCTACCTCTCTTTCTCGACTCACATTTATTTTCGCTGGACTACTTCCAAAAGCCAATGTTTGGTTTTTCATTATTTTTAACGGTCGAGGATACGGATTAGTTATCCAGATGTGTGTTTCCCTATTTATAACATTGATCAAGCTTCTTGCTAGACGAAGTCCATTTGTTTGAAACATTTTGCTGCTCTCTTCGATAATATATTCTCCATCCTCTGTTTCTACCAATGCCTTGATCAATTTCATGGAACATTCCGGTACAATGGAATCCTTGGCACTCTTTATTTTCAACATTTCAAAATTGATTTCGTCATGATTATTCGTCAAATCATATTTTATAGTTTCTTGCTTACAATCTATTTTTGCGTTCATTTTCTTAAGGAAATCTCTCCCAAGAATTAATGTCCGTAAATGCGTTTTCAATATCACAAAGTTGTGTGATAATGTTTCGTCATCAATTTTTATATTTAAAAATATACTTCCTACCATGTCCAATTTTTTTCCATCGGGTCCTGCACAAATTTTTGCGAGTTTACTTATACCATGGCCTGTATCGAGGGCCGTTCTGAGGTCGACCACTGAGAGGTCAGCACCTGTATCAACCAAAGCTTCAAAAGTCCCTATCTTGTCCACATTAATTTTTAATTTGTATTTAGGGTCCAACTTCTTGATTCCGTTTATGGTCGACTTGCTTTGATTGACAGATTCAGGCGCGACGCTTAGTTTAAATCTTCCAACACGGAATATCTATTCCGGGTAGGAATATTTGTCTGTGTGCTATGACATACATCAGCATAAAGCCGAGGTCCTGATTTCTCTGATGTTTCATTCATCTGGCATTTTTCTTCGACCTTCTCTTGGGTATCTGCTGGGTCCTCTTCTAGGATTCTTATAAACTTGACCCTACAATAACGGGCCACGTGCCCTGGCTTGTTACATTTAAAGCAGATTGGTCTTCCATCTTCCGTCCTATTTTTGCTCACTTCTTGACTTTTATTGTAAGTGTTTCTCTGAAGGTTTGGTTTCGGCACAAAGTTAGGATTATAAGGACGTCTAGGGGTAGAGGGCTGGGGAAAGTTGTTTCGATACTGTCTGGGGGTAGGAGGGGAGTCGTTCTTGTAATTATTGGAAACAGGGGCTTGGGGCCTGGAAGTGGTCTGGTAGTTTCGTGCGGCAGTCGGCGGCACGTACCTCGATTGTTGTTGGGGTCTAGAATAGCGTGGACCGTTATATAGGTTTCTGGATTTCTCCACACGTTCCTGATACTTCTTTTCAAAATAATCCATTTTCTTGCACACGACAAGAAGGTCATCGGTCGTTTTAGGAGGGTTCAGGTAGAGCGCGAATGAGTACTCTTTTTTCAGTCCTCCAATAACATGTTCAATTTTTGTTTCTTCTTCCATTGCGGGGTCAACCTTGTTGCACAACACTAGAATGTCTTCCGCGAACCTGATTGCTGGTTCATTCCAGTGTTGCATTCTGTTGAGCTTCATTCTAAGTTCTTCTTTATTCGCGTCCAAAGAAAAATCCTGAATGAGGCGGATTTTAATATTTTCCCAGCTCGTGAAACTAGCTTTGTGTAAATTCAACCAGGTTTTAGCGCTTCCCGTCATGTTCATGGCGGCATAACGAGAGATAATGTAGTCTGCCCAATGGTACAAGAAGCCAATTTCTTCAAGAGATTCAATCCATGGGCGAGGGTCTTCCGTTCCATCATACTTGGGGATGTCGATGTTGGGATTCAGGACAACTGGGTCGGAACTAGCATCTCTACCAATTGTTGCACCAGGTTGCGGCTTGGCAGACTCTTCAGCCTGGATTCTCTCCTGTGCTGGGTCTTGCATCTTACCAGAGAGTGTTTCAACCATCCTACAAATTTATAAAAGGGAATAACGAGATAAGTCTTCTTTAAGTAGCCACCAGAATC